AAACTAAAAATAACATAATACCTATATAAAAATAAGTGGTTGTCGTCGTGGTCGCTCGACGAACGGCGATAACGCAAACATTAACTAAATAACTAAAACAGTAAAATCAGTAATCACTACAATAATATATATTTTAATTTGTAATATTATTTTTATCTGTGAGACTATACCGTGAATACCGATGACAATTTACTGTAAAGTGACAATTCATACTTATATAATTGATTAATTTCTAACAATAAAAAGTTTACAATGGGTAAGGCAAAAAATGCAAAATTGCGACATTATCGAAAAGAATGGGAAAAATGTTCATGGGCTCAAGGTAAATAATATATAATATATAACAGGTTCATTATTTTAAAAATCTACACTTATCTTCAGAGTTGGGCATTAGTCGAATAAAAAATTATTCGATTGATTATTTAAATAAAAAATTATTTTTTACTCATTTAATTATTTTAGATTATTTTTATTCATCATTTTGATTTGTTTCTGCCCGACTCTGCTTTTCATAAATTGATTAATTATTCTTTAATAAAATTAACCAAATCATTATGTTTAAAATATGTATATTACGTTAAAAAATATTGGTTTAGGTTGGTTGTGTGAAGCAGATAAAAATGATAATAATGTCAATGAAGCATTTTGTAAAATTTGTAAATCATTTCTGAGAGCCCATCAAACAGATCTAAAAAAACATAGTAATGGCAAAACACATATTGCCAAAATGAAAATGATAGTTTCAGAACCTAGCCAAAGTAAAATAAGTAATATAATCATTATAACAAACGAACAAAAAGAAATCGATCTGAAATTGGCACTTTATGTAGCGACTCATTCTTCTATTAGGAATATGGACCATTTGACAGATATTTTAAAATCAATAGGAAAAGGTTCTCCTCTGTCGAATTTAAAAATGCATCGTACAAAATGTTCTAGTTTAATAAAAAATGTTATCGGTCCTTCTTTACTAGAGAATGTTGTAAATGATTGTAATGGAAATCCATTTTCGTTAATTGTAGATGAGTCTACCGATGTGTCCGTAGTTAAATATTTATGTTTGTGTATTAAATATTTTAGTATTCAAGATCAAAAAATTAAAATTCAATTTTTAGGCCTAATTGAAGTAGAAAAATGTACAGCTGACTTATTATATGAACATATCTGTAAATACATTGATCGCATAGGCCTAAATCTAAAAAATTTAATTGGGATTGGAACTGATGGTGCAAGTAACTTATGTGGTAGAAACCATTCACTGTTTACTTTACTTAGACAGCAAAATCCTAATTTACAAATAGTACGATGCATTTGCCATTCTCTGAATAATGCTATTTCAAAAGCAGCTGATGTGTTTCCTAGTCACATAGATTTCATCTGTAGAGAAGTATTTAATTGGTTCCATATAAGTCCATTAAGGAGGGCAGAATATAAAAACACATTTGACCTATTAAATACTAATACTAATGGTAAAAATAAAAAGTTCCATCAATTTCATCAACTATCCGGTACCAGATGGTTAGCACGTTCCTATGTTGTTAGTACAATTTTAGAGCATTGGTTTGAATTAAAAACACATTTCAAATATGTTGTTAAAAAAGAAAAATGCTATATTGCTCGAACTTTGAACGAAATGTTTCATGATGATATTAATTATTTGTATTTAATAATAATAAAGCCAATATTAGAAGAGTTTAATAGGTTGAATTTAACATTTCAAAAAAATTTTGTCGACATTGGAAAATCGTATGATGATATCTGTGGATTATATATGTTTTTAGCAAAAAAAATAATGAAAACGACTTTAACCTCGTCAGATATTAACAATATTAGACAAAACATATCTAATGAAAGCGCTTATCTTCCAGTAGATAAATGTAACTTTGGTATACAGTACTATCAATTAATAAATACTCTTAAAATTGCATCGGATACTAAACATGTTGTTGATGTTAAAGCACTAGCATTCATAAAAGCTTTATTATTTGAATTAGATAAAAGACTTCCAGATAATTTAAAATTATTTCAAGAACTGCAGTATTTTTCTCCAAAACAATGTCTCAATCAATTACATCCAAAATTTTCCAATTTACCATTTATTCATAAATTTCTTGAACAATCAATGTTTTCTTCTTTAGAAGTACAGTGGGAAAACATCTTGAATATTACTTGGTCTATTCATTTATCTGAAGAGGAGTTAAATGATAGTCATGCATTTTGGGCTAAACTATATTTTTTTAAAGATGCTGGTGGGTCATTCATTTTCAGAGATCTCTCTGAATTTGTACTAAAAGTGTTATGTCTACCTTCAAGCAATGCAGTTGTTGAAAGGATATTTTCAATAATGAATGCAATTAAAACAAGATCTAGAAATAGAATGAACTTTTCTATGTTAGATAGCTTATTAAGAATTAGAAGCAGTTTTACATCAAAGACTAAATGTTGTACTGAATTTTCACCCTCAAAAGCTATGTATGATAAATTTAATTCAAATATTATGTATTCAAAACCTGAAAATGAATCTATTCCAAGTTCTGGAAACAACTATATTTATGATGATGAAGATAATACTATAGATATCTTTAATGAAATTACATTATCTGAATCTGAGAACTTTTATTAACAAGAAATTTCAAAATTGATTATACATTATATATTTTTATTTAAAAAGAAAATGTTATTAAATTACCTATATATTACAATAATATTGTATATTATGTTATTATTATTTTTTAATATTATTTTATATTAATTGTACAAAGTAGTACAACATTTTTGTAAGAGATGTGGTTTATTTTATTTTAATAAATTGTTTAAAGATTGATTAAAATATTAATTTTTTACAACTCCTTATTATCGTATAGATAACTAGTCATTAACAACCACAGATATATAAAAATATTTTTAAAAGTATTTTTATATATCTGTGTTAACAACACAGCCGAATAATGAATACAAAACAGAGAAATATATATTAAGAAATGATAATGATGATAATATGATTAAGTAACAATTTTGGTAATTACAGTTGGCGATATTTGGCTACTATGAAAAAATTATTTGGCTAGATTATTATTGGTATATCTGGCAACCCTGTTCAAATGTAGTTTTCATTCGTGTTCACGCATTCGTAGCGTACAGTCCTGTCACCGTGCGTTTCACTGATAAGTAAATTCGGTTTTTAATAACTATAATTCTAATTAGTGTTCTCCACGGACTAACATATATCTTAGTCCGTGGTGTTCTCAAATGCCGTCGTCCTCGGGCGGCAATAGACCGGTGCGGTCAAACCCCAGCCACATCCAAAATCAAGAGCACAGTTACTAAAAATCCTGCCTCAACTCAACTTAAAAATACTAATAATCCAGTTTCACCTAGTTTTCAACTAATTAACGAAAACCCGCCGATATTAAATGCATCTCACTCTACATTTAAATTCAATGACGTAACCAATAACATTACCATTAGAGATGTGTCGTTCATGAACGAACTAGTTCAATTGAACTATTCACCCAAGTGACCGGTTTCGTACTAGTTCACTTTTGATGAACGACTCGTTCACCGTTTACTTTATAATTTTTATACTATACGCACGCGTCAGGTCATGAACGATTTGTTGATACGGAGTAATAATTATTGAACTAGTTCGTTCATGAACAATTCTTTGATACGGAGTACGTATTCTTACGAACGAATCGTCAAATATATGAACTAGTTCAATTTAGTGAACGATGAACGACTAAACTAGTTCACCTTAATGAACGATAAGTCCCATCTCTAACTACCATGCTCGATTCAAATATTATATATTATACTGGATGATAATCAACCTAATGAACACATCCGTTGTCAGCTTATCTACAGATAAAACGCCGTCGTTTCCATTTACCCGACATTGATATCGATATGTCTACAAACAATTACAATAATTATACTCGCCGAGTGCATCGATCAAAATAAAAACATGGGTAATTGGCATTCTATAAGCGTTGCAAAATTTTTCACCAAAAATTTTATTGATATCTCCAATATCAAACCAGCCGGTTCCAAAAAGATAAAAATTACTTTTAATTCCATCATCAACGGCAATAATTGCTTAAATGCTGATATTCCGCGCTCTAACGATTATCATGTAAATATTCCCAGCAGCCTTATATACTCGTATGGAATTATTAAATTAGATAATAATATTTCCGAAGAAGAATTTTTCAAGGGTCAACGTTCATCTGTTACAATAGATGCATTTAAACACATCTCTATTCAGAAAGATGGTAAAACTATCCAGACTAGCAAAGTAGAACTGAAATTCATAGCACCTAAAATACCATCTATCACAAAATCGACCTCATCGGATTTGACGTTATAGGATCCAATTCTTCTAATCCATTAAAAATATGGTCTTGTTATATCTCTAACAATATAAATATTCCTATCAACCCCTGGAAAATTATTTTCAACCTAGTTACGCGTAACTCTCTACTATGTGGAGACTTCAACGCTTTTCATTCAGCATGGGGATCAAACTCATTTTCACGTCGTGGAAATCTTATATACAATATAATTGATTCCCTCGGCCTTTATATCTTAAATTACGGCAGTTCAACCTACATTAGGTGTCTTAACTCAACTGATTCAGCCTTGGACCTTTCCATCTGCTCTCCTGATCTTATTTGGAATCTATCATGACGTACACTAGGTAAACCTCATGGCAGTGATCACATTCCGATCATAATAAAGTTAAACACACATTTTACCACCAACACATTTCTCTCTACTACCCATTCTGACTCTAGCCAATATAAACCGATATACTATAATTTCAATAAAGCCGACTAGGCAGCCTTTTCCCTCCAAACACAAAATTAATTTTCCGCCCTAGCAGATAATATATTCTCAACAATGTCCTATTCCTTTTTCACTAATATTATAACTAACTCTGTCAATGCAACTATACCCATCAAAATACCAAACACAAAAACATTTCCACCCTCCCCCCATGGTGGAATCCCACCTGCACGGAATTGGTCAACAACAGGTCCCTACTTTTCAGAACATTCAGACGCTCTATTACCGACTTTCTTTCACATCAAAACGTTTGCGTCCTAACAACTCGAACTCTTAAAAACGAAAAGAGAAATAATTGGAAACATTTTTGTTCAAACCTAATACCGTTCAGCACCTCTGGTCTGTAGCTAGGAGATTTAAAAATTGTGTACTCCTCCAACTCGTCCCGACAATGAAGATTGGTTCGAAGATGTCTGTTCCAAAATTGCCCCTTGTTCCATCCGAATCTGAATACCTTCCTCGTTTCGATCACGATATATCTCCTTTCATATCCTAACGAACAATTTCAGTATGTTCCAATTAAATTACCCTATTTCATCACGTAAATCCATCGCATCCGGTCTCGACAATATCTCGCCGGTTAGGTTGAAACACCTCCCTGTTATTGCATTAGACTCTTTCCTTGTCTTATTGAACAACATTTTGTCAACCCAACAAATTTCGCCCTCATAGTGTTCCTACAAAGTCATACCAATTGCTAAACAAAATTCCAAAACCTCTTTTCGTCCTATAGCACTCTGCTCCGCAATGTGTAAGATACTCGAGCATATGCTCAAATCTAAGTTTCACTGGTGTTTAGAAAACAATTCAGTCCTACCGGATAATCTTTTTGCCTACAGGAAAGGAAGAGGTAATGTATTCGTACTACGTATTGACCGATAGTTTACGGTTTATTCTTAAACATCTGTACTTTTTTCGTTTTAACAAACTGATTGAATCGAATAGTAAAAAAAAAAAAAAATACACCGAATAATGCCTGTGTAAAATTCCGAACGGGATACAGGTTCCCGAAACGGGTGAACCGATCGCGAAACAATACCGTTGTGTTGTTCAGTTCGTACGTCCGCGGACGCGTTCGTCCGACCTGCGCACGTTTGTCCGTCCGGTGTTCACTGGTCCTCGACGAGGCCGGTGACCACGCACCGCTGTCCCACTCGTATGTTGCACGGCGCGTCCGTGTCCTCGCGCCCGAGATAGATCCCGTAAACGGTTTTGCCGTTCCACTTGTGCTGCGCCAACACGGACAGCGGCTTGTAATGGCTCTCCGACGTGTCCTGGTCGATGTTCACAATCTTGCACCGTTCGCAAACCGAGTCGGTCTGCAACACGTCATTTACTACGGTTTATTCGACACGAAACTGATCCAGCGCACGTCGACGGCACGGGGCGGCAGACTCCCCTCCCCCCTGCCATACGACCCACGGGGCGCGTTCGATAGGATTCCATCTGGACGAATAGGTGGGGGTGAGCGATCGACGATTTCGGAAACAGGATCGAACGCTCGCGGGCGCGATCATCCACCGTCCGACGTGCGGCGGCCGACGCAAGGCCGGACAACGGCGACCCGTAGCGGTCTCGGTGGAGCGTGTTTCGAGAACCGTCGTCGCCCACCGCCATCGCGCCAACAGCGGGGGACTTAGGGGGGCTTAGCCCCCCCCCCGCAATTTTTTTGATTATTTAAAATTTAATGATAATTTAAGCACGGAATAGCGAGATACATACTAAATAATATGAGTATATGACGCAGGAAATTATTCAAAAGTAAATCGTATAAATATAAAATGTTATTATTATAGTTTATTTTGTAATTCCTACAATCCTACATAGTTAATAATAATATTGTTTTCTAATAAATGTGACGGACGACGGTGGAATATAGCGGTGGTGTTATGTCATATTTTATGTAAAACATACTATATTGAAGTAGGTACATGGTTTTTAATAATATAGTACGGTAATGATATTTTATGATTGTTTTTATTTCAATTAATAATTGTTGTTCCGTGTCTGCGGCAGTTGGGGGCATGGGAGGCGAAGCCCCCCATAGCTCACATTGACTAAATTTATTTATAGGGCTTCAGCCCCCCCCCCCCCCCAATGTTTTAGACCTAGTTGGGCCAATGTCGCCCATCGCGTTCGGTGGAACCCGTGACTCGAAGGTGTCCGCCGCACCGTTGTCCCGTCGAAGCACTGCCCCGGTGTGGCGCCAATGTCTCGGTCTGCCGGTCGAACAACACTCGGCGGCTTTTTGGACTTTTTTTCACGGTGGCGTGTTGTTCGCGACCCGACCGCACAGGACTTTGGCGCCGTGCCCGCGACAGCTTACCTGGAACGCGACGTCCCCGATGACCATCTTTCGCCACGTCAGTTCGGCGCGCGGCGGCAAGTCGTCGCCGGACACCACGATGTTCCCGCGGAACCGGAACAGCACGCTGTCCTCGCTCTGGTAAACACACATTACGACGCGCATTGTTTAAATATTCGCTGCCGACGGAGTTGCTGGCCGGCGAACTCCCAGCGTCCGCCCGACGACGCGTTATTACTAGGGCTCAGATTTTTAAGCGTGTTAAATAACAAAAAAAAAAAAGGCGCAAAATTGTCTAAAAAAAATCAAAAACGAAGCGTATTTATTTTTAAAAAAAGCAAAAAAATTAAAATTATGACCAAAAATTAACAAAAAATAGTTTTAAAGCCCAGAAAAAAAAAAAAAAATAAAAATGAATTAAATTAAAAAAAAATAATGAACTACCGTGTATTTTGTAAGATTTTCAATAGTGAAACTATCTCTATTATCCGACAGAATGTTTTACATCCACCAAAGTTATCGGTACACACTTCATGCAAGAGGTTTCGTTTAAATCTAACCTATGATAATTTATTTCGTTTGATTAAACGTCACCAATATATTATTAATGTCTAGTAACTGTTTCCAGCCTTTGTTTTTCAAAAGAACACGGTTTAGTTTATATGAAATTGCCGTTGCAATATCTCCATTAGCTTCATTTAACTTTTTTTCTCCATCTAAGATAATATTTATACATTTTATCAACGATCTAACTGTCTGCAGATTGATAAACTATACATTTAATCAATTTAACTATTAAGCCGAAAACAATAATCGAATACAACCGATTAGTCCGTATTCCGGGTTTTCAAATTAGTTATTAATTAAATAATTTTTTTTTTTTAACAGAAATACGCGAAACGAACTTATACTTAAAAATTAGAGTTATATTTCATATATAAAAAAATAAGTATTTGTTTAAAATCTGAGCCCTAGTTATTACTTTTCGGACGTTTATGCGCTGTTCCGTGATCTGTTATTTTTATATTTTTTCGATATCGGGTGCACACTAGTTTACCATACGCTGCGCGATACGACGATCTTTTAATTTTGTTTAAACCTAATGTTTGAGACAAATACAATTGCACAGATTGATAATCTATCATTTATCTACCCGTTGATTTAAACCGTTTTTAAAAAATATACTGACGTAAGTATGCGTTTATATTGTTAAAATCACAAAAATATGCATTTAAAATATAAAACCGTAAAGTATGCAAAAACATACAGCATAAAAATAGTGTTATTAGATTCTGTGTTTAGGTCCGAATTGAATTGGATCAATAGAAAAATATATGCAATTTCATAAACATCCGAACCCTAAATATTATCGTTTCGAATTATTATCGTCTGCGGGTCAGCGAATATGCGTTTATGGTATGGACGATATAAATAAATGCAAAACATAAAATACATTTCTTGATTGTTAAAATATTAAATAATATTCAACGATTACTAAAAACATAAATTTATATTAAATAAATTATTCTGTGTTTTTGTTAAATAGTTTCAAAACAGGAAAAGTGGCTCAAATTGTATGGAACCCTGATTTACACCACGCTCAGTCCACCCTAAATTCGACGATGATTCAGATTTGTTATTAACTTAATAATTTTGGTTTTCAAATATTCTTTACGACCGCATAAGAAAAGACGATTTAAATGCACTTTAACACGTCCACAGCCAAGTGTCAACTATAGTTGACATAGAGTTCTCTTTAGATAAATCCATGTCAAGTATAGTTAATATGGTGTCAATTCATTTGTATACATAATTATTTGACTCTGGTTTATTCTAATAAATATTATGATAACATGGTTTTTTTGACCAGTTTTCTGTGTATCGATTGGTGTACTTGGTTTTAAAATCCAACAGCTGGATAGCGATATTAGTAGTGTTTATTGTAGGCATAATATTATTTTATTTTTATTTTTAAAGTAACACTATGATTCTTGCATATGTTTGCAGTTTGATTTTTGACAATTTGTAATTAGATGGAGTAAATTCAAACCCTCCATAGTTCTTGACTATAATAATAATATGTCAGGTATTGACCAAGCAGACCAGAGGATCACATACTACCCGACTCCAAAGAAATTATTACGTTGGTATATTAACGTTTTTTTTTACACTATGAACATATGCTTATGGAATGCTAATTATTTGAACAACAAGTAAAAAACAATTATGCCACATTCAGATTTTAGAAGATATGTTACTTTAGTTGGTGTTATGTGTATTTATTTGGTATATAATTCCATATATTGTATTTAATCCATAGATTGTTTATATTTACAAAGATAATAAATAATTCCATAGATTGTATATAATTCCATAGAATGTATATAATCCATAGATTGTATGTAATTTCAAAGACAATACATATTTCCATAGATTGTATATAACACCATAGATATAATATAATTCCATAGAATGTATAAAATTCCATAGATATTATATAATCCATAGATTGTATTATATTATATCTATGATGTTATATACAATCTATGGATTATATAATATCTATGGAATTATATTATATCTATGGTATTATATTATATTCTATGGATTATATTATATCTATGGAATTATATTATATCTATGATGTTATATACAATCTATGGAATTATATTATATCTATGGTGTTATATACAATCTATGGAATTATGTATTGTCTTTGAAATTACATACAATCTATGGATTATATACATTCTATGGAATTATATACAATCTATAGAATAGATAGAATATAATCCATAGATTGTATTATATTATATTCTGTGGATTATATAAAATCTATGGAATTATATACAAACTATAGAATTATAAAATATCTATGGAATTTTATGAATTTTATGCTGTGATTTTTGTATACGACTTTTCAAATTATGGGGTGACCGTGAACGTGTTAATGTAATTAACATGTTTCAAGAATACTTTATATTTAAACACTATAATTCTAACAGAAATGTTTTGTTTGCGATTGCAGATAATTATTTTGAAGATGGAACCATATCAATCAAGAAAAGAATTTGAAAATAGAAGTTGATCCACATGTAGTAATTCCATAATACTTAGTTTTTGGAATAATTTAAAGACGTCATAATGGTTTACGTGTAAAGCATAAACCTTATAAATTAATATTGCATTTCAAATAATAACTAATATAGACTAAAAGGCATAAATGTATCTTAGAGATAATTGTTATGTCAATAATTAAAATTAGAGTGCAGTAGTACCCTACATAGCGGTTACTATATACATACTAACACATTTTATCGACTAGCGACTATCTTGACGAGTTAATAAAAAATTAATTTTTGCATTTATGATATCACTAGTATTTCATAAAAAAAACTACTTAGTAGATATTACTGACCATTTCTGTTAAATTGTTTTCTATTTCTTGATGTAACCATTTGAGCGTCGAGTCCGTGGTCAACAGATATTGACATTGGTTTGATCCCAATACCTTTGCATCTAATTTTCCTAAAATTTATAACCTTTGAATTAGTTGTGTTGAATAAGTGAATACTATGTTTCAACGAATTATATAATATTATGATATCTTTAATCTGTACTATATTAACGTTCGTGTTATGCTTTTTTTAAACATATTAATAAATAAAAAAAATTTAAAAAAATTAAATCAAAAATGTTTTTCGTCCTTTATTTCCTGATTGTCAATTGCGAGAAAATCATGTTCAGTCGGTAGATCACAGTATTACTTACCGTATTTATTGACTTTCGGCGGGTTCCGGCCAGTGCATCTAACCAGTCTCAGACCTGGTCGGTCCAAATTCAAACTGAGCCACGTGGCGACTTCATCACCGCAGTCGATACCTTCTACGGAGCCTCCCCAGCAAATTTTTCCTTTTTTCTTGTCACCACTACAAACCGTGTCTAACGGCACTGTCATTAGCACTTCTTCTTGATTTTCTATAGAATAAAAAGTTGGTGCAAAAACAAATAGTTATAAATACTTAAAACACAAAGAATAATGAAAAAGGCTTAAAATGTAAATAAAAAATAAAATAAAAACGGTTTTATTTTGTTTTCTCTCATTTCGACAGCGGAACATTACTAGAAGTATCATAAAATAAACATCCAAGACAAAATCGTTGATTTCTACAAAGATGCAATTTGACAAAATACGAACCAAATTTGTTTGAGACGTGAAATATCAACTTTAAAGAAAATCGTTTAGAGTATAAAATAAGATTTTCTCGAAATTCCTTTAAATACGTTTGGAACAAATTTTAAAAGAATGACATTTTGAATGTAACAAAGAAATCGAATCAATGCATTAACAGAAAGAGGTGATCTTGTACTATGACGTCGAAAATATATACAATACACATCGCGATACCAAAGTGAAGGTCGAACAATTGTTATAATTAATATTTTATTATTTATTTGGATAGACCATCAACAGATTTACGTATTATAATAGGTATATTAGTATACTACGCTGTAAAATGTTGCTTAAACGTCGACGTTAAAATGTCTACTGTTAATTGTTTTGCGTACCTACACACATCTAACATGGTCATATTTACACGGTATGACGAAGAATGCGCGACGGAAGACTTAAATTAAGTTTTTATCTCTATGAAACGGGCAATGATCATTAAACATTATTTTCCAAAATCTAGTTTCACATTACAATGTTTCCTGAATTATTATGTTCGAAATCTCTGTTTCGATCGAAACCGCACGCCGCAGCACATCATCCTTCCGACCACGGCACCATGATAATTATTACAGTGTCACTAAAACTGCGACGGGGTCGTATTTTTAACCGCGGTAAAATATACAAGATGACGGACCATTGATGTGGTATGAGCTTACCGGCGTACAGAAGACTCATCGTTCCTTTTTGCAGGTCCACATAAGGACGGATTAGGCACAGTTTAGGTTCTTCCAACTGTGTCATGCACACTCCCGTATCGCTGACAACTACCCAGTTTCGGTCGTACAGAAATCCGTACGATTCCAATTGCCACTCGTTCGTCTCGAAAGCCCCGCACGATTTGATTGGATAGACAAAGATCCTCTTTACGCGCAAGTCCATTTTATTATACCTGTCGGGCGGAAAACGACAACAATAATTTCAATCGTATCCAAAATACAGTGATATAATTATGATAACCGAATATGAAAATCTAAACAAAAGCATATTTTAAAATTTTTTTCTTGCACGATAAAAAATTAATAAATATACCTCCTTAAGAGAATTGACTAAAATGTTATTCCATCCACTATTATTCCACCCATTTTATCTATAGGTATTCTTCAGCTAAATTAATTGTTTTTTTTATCTGATTACTTTTATTTATATTTATACAATCAACTATAAAACTAAATATTAGAATGATGAAAATACATTGAAAATATTAGAAATATTTTAATGTACGATTCTCAAAAAGTAAAACTGTATTAATATATGTATTACACATTTAACTACAATAAAATTTTAAATTTTATAGTATAAAACGTAACATTTAAATTAAAGAAAAGAACGAATTTTCTTAGTCAGGTGAGGCATAAAAATGGGTAAACGATATTGCTGTGTTAGTCTTATAAATTTAAAACTCATGTGCAGTTGCAATGGAAAAATAATTTTAGGTGAAAGAAATTGAATAGATCAGTTTGTATTTTTGAAGATGGTCGAAATAAATTTTTTTATAAGATAGGTTGAACTTCTTTTAGCGTTTTAACTTTTAAAAAAGGGAAGCCATCTAAAATTTGGAAAAATTTTGCCTATAAATAGGGCAAAATGTATTAAAATATTCCAAAATAATGAAATAGATGACTTAAGCTAAGGAACTAGTATCATTGAATGAAATATTCGATCTCATCATATTTTCATTTTGTGACGCTTATAAATAATAGTTGTGACTTTTAAGTAAATATTTTTGAGCTACTCGTATAAATACAATTTTTTTTAAAAAAATCATTCTTATGTTGAAGTATAAGTATCCTTTATGTAAAATGATTGAAAATGTTATGACTTTTTAACTAAAAAAATGTAGCGAATTTGTATCGTTTTATCAAAATGATTGGAACAATGCATCAATAAAGAATATTGTATTATGAAAAAGAGCACGTCTAGTCACCAAAAATATGAATAATACGCATTGTAATAATGTTTTATATTCGCAAGGAACGTGATATCGGAATGCGGTAAATCGAACAGAGCGCGAAGTTTCTAGAGGCCAATTTAAGATTTTATCGCGAGGAAAAACCTCGAAAAATGTTCCCTGACAGTAGTATATAATGTCTTTAAATTTATACAAGTATATATTAATTCTTTATATTTTAAAAAAAATAACTGAGTAACTGAAATTTTTATTTTTCAATGGTTAGGACAGATGCATCATTTCTCTCGTTCTGTTTTTCTCTCATAATCTTTCTATATATATATTTATATATTTTTTCTCTTTCTCTAAAACTATCCCGGAATTAATTTAAATTAATTTACGCGTCCATAGAGATAAGTTGACGGTTGACGGGTGTGACCGGACAATTCTGCCAAAAATGTTCGATAAGCGTATCGTAAAGTTTATCAACGTCCAATGTGGTCGACTGGTAGCCAAACGAAGCCCGAACTGACCCTGTTGGACGGCCGTCAATGAGATCGATGTGATCGCCACAAATATGACCTCTGCAAAGTGAACCGTAACAATTAGTTGTGTTGGCAGACGAGATCACTGCACTCAGGACTACAATGTGCATCATACTCACACCACTTGTTGGTTTCGCTTCAGATCCTGGTTCGTATGTTCCAAGTGTGTCTGGCAAGCGCCCGGGTTGCAGAAACAGCCTACGCGGATTACAATATTGCGAGCGCTAACGACGTTTTTCACCTATAAAAACGGAAACGTTTCGGTCAGGTTCTATTGCAGTTGCGTACAGTGGTGCCGAAATTGCTGGGTAAAAACAAAATATCTAGTCCGGATGCACCCACCTCTTGGTAAAAATTTCTGAGTAAAATGTTTGAAAACAAGGTTAACGAAGAGTACCATCCCTGCAGTTCATAAAGGGTATCCGCTTTATATTAACGTGGATTTCAGTGTCCTTGGCTTATGCTAATAGGTATATTGATTATTGATATGAAAATCGTATTATACAATTACATATTACGGAATACGTAAGTCACATATCATGTCTAGTACAAGAAGCAAATAATCACTACCGACGAAGTTACACGATAGTATTTTTTCATGCTTTCCCTAGTGTGCACTCCGACATGTTACGTTTTTACTACCATCATAATAATTATTTACGTAATTATTTTCTAAATCCCTTGATTGTAATATCTACCGGCTCGAATATATTATTACTTGTATACGATTTCGCGTAACACGGGTAAACGTATTTTATTTGATTATCAATACATCGTATTATAACTAACTGATTGATAAAGCGTATCGAATTTATCTATAAGTACCTACTCTCACTAGACACAGGCCCGTTGAATCAACGATGTTCAAGGAGTATGTTACTACAAAACGTCACACACTTAGACTATCTTCGTTTATTTTTCAATACATATATAGTTATTCATTATCATGTATCTTACTGGTGCGGTGTTATGAAAGCAATTATTTTTTTTATCATTAAACCCTGATACAATTTAATGAAGGTTATTTGAGTTATTTGAAAATAAGATAATTTGTTTTGCAGAAAAACATTTTTTATTTGATTGAGGTGTTGGTTTACTTTCCAGATAAATTATGTACTTGAGTATTTATTATAGTTTTTTTATAGATCATGATTATTTTACATTAAATTTCTTATCTAAATTCATTAATCAGTTTATTATTTAATTTTCTTTCTTCAGTTTTAAACGCATTTATCGCTAAAAGCATTATATTTCCTTAATATTTTCGTCTATTACTGTCATATAATGTTATTCATTGCCATTACTTCAGATTATTACATACATTGCATTTGTGCTTTTATACTAATTTATTATTATTTCTTTAATTGTTCATACTGTATTTCATTATCAATGTAATCAAGTCCTAATATTACCATATTATGGACCTATTTCCACTGTTATAATACTTTTATAGTTTTGTTAAAACATTATATATAATAATATTAGAGTGTAATTTGATTGTTGTGTTGTTTGTTATATTATAAGTGTCAATAATTTTAAATTCGATAAATTAATAACAATCATTTTTATAAAATTAAAACATCTGTGATTTTAAAAATGGTATTGTTTGAAATTAAATGTAAAGTATGATTAATTTTAACCAGCTTTAAAAAAAAAAAAATTAAATATAAATATATACATAATATCCGTAGAGATAATGCACGTATAACGAATATTATTACGTTCGATAGTAATCATAACTTTTCCTAATTATAATATAATGAACATCAACCTACAACATTTACCAACCGGAGTGCAGTAAACCGTTATTTTAAGTTCAAAAGTTTTTACATTTTTTCGTAAACACAATAATAACAATACACGTAACTGTTATAATATTAAATCGATAACTACGTACTTACCTTTTTGTACGATGGACGTTTACAGTGAGTTTTACCTAGTGCACTAATTAGCAGTTCAAACGGCGCGTGTGTTTGGTCAAAAACGTTGACTGATATTAAATACTACTTATCTATCAACTGAAAGTGGAGGGCGGAAATGTGATTAACGACGGTTTTAATACTATACAGAGTATAGTAGACCAGTGGTTCTCAACCTTTTTTTTTGTTCACGACACACCATTATATATTATTACAAGTTTTCGCGGCATACTCATCCACTTGACAACAACAAAAACTTTGGCTACGCGCTAAGATATCCAGTTGGGTTAGAACCGTACAGTTTACCTACATATGTATCGTCTTATCTGCACAATTAATTGACATTTAACTGTCATAGTTTCATCAATCGGTATTTTCAAATATCAGACATTTTTCACGGCACACCGGTAGAGAATCACTGGTATAGACATTATAAAATAATATCAAATACAGCAGCGGTTCCAAACTTTTACTATCATGGAACCCTTAAAAAAATAGTTTGTGTTTCACGGAACCCTAATTTCTAATTCCAATTCAACTCTAATTTTTCTAAAAAAAAAATCTAATAATCTAAAAAATGTTTTTAATGATACCGTTAATATTGTTAATGATCACTCTTTATTAAAATTAGTTTAAAACACAATTTTTTTTTAAATAATACAAAATAATATTTTTTCCAAGTATAATATAAAATAAGTTTCTCGATAATCACATATATCCGGCGGAACCTTGAGGTTCCGTGGAACACACTTTGGGAAACGCTGATGTACAGAGATAGTTTGTAACCGATCAAATGATCCGCGGTCGTACAAGTTTAAAATTTAAACGACTTTATACGTTTATCATTTTTGGAAAATCGATAACATTATTAAAACATAATTCTCAATAGGCCTCGAGCAACGTGCAGTAAACATTTTTCACGCGTATAAACCAAATTTTCCGAAAGAGTACAAACGTTTATTGATTTGAAATACGACGTAGATAACTTAAGCTAATATTGTAATCGGTCTATAAAAAGTCAACCGGCAGTTTAATCGGACTGTAGAGCAATGTAATTAATTATGTTTGTTTGTATTGCAAACGGCATCGTCTTATTTTTATCATTCGATTGTTACAGAACCGTCGTGTAACTGTAGGCATGTCCGATCGTTTTCACACGTCACGTTGCACAAGTCATCGGAAATATAACGCCCTTTCCCCTTTCTTCGGAAAAAGGATCGTTTTTGAGTTATAACCGTAACACTACGCTAAATGACTAACGGATTTGCATGTTGCGTACTCTATGCGCAGAGACGAAACTAGGAATTTTTACGCCTGGGGAAAATGTTATAATTACGCCTTATCATAGACCAAGAATCAAACACCCTTCCCTACAATTCTTTCTAAGCATACAATCATATTATTTGAGTTATAAACATATTATCAGTAATGAAGTTTAAAATTTCAAACTAATAGTCACTAATAGATTATATCCTATAAAACTTACACCCTCTACAATGTTACGTCCAAGGATGAATCCCAGTTTTCCTCCCAATAGTTTCGCCACTGTGTTTGTGTAGAACTAATCGTTAGTATGTATTATTATAGTATTAGTCGAAGTACGCGAATAGAGTGCCGAATAATAGGACAGTATAAAATGGTGACAAGGGAAGAGATGATGTGGGAAATCATTTTATCCATTTTGCGTATTAGAACAATGTTGTGACAGTGCATACCAGCGCATTCGTGACATCTGTCTGCAATACGAACGCCGTATGGAAACATCTGTCAGCTGGAAAATATCCCTAGGTCCCTTGCATCTTGGACAGAATTTGCCGTACATGTCAATATAAGCTCAGTGCATATTATGGGTAATACGTCCAAGGCCACCTCCCGCAGCACTAACACTTGTACTTGGAGGTTTTTGAGTGTTCGTTTTGGTGGGCCATCGATCGCAGGATAGAACGATCCGTAGGGTTCTTGTTGCATAAGTTCGACATGTATTTTATTTCGAACAATCATAATATTTAAGAGCTTTGTCGTGTTTCATCATCAGTTGTGCGTAAAAGTGTACTACTTCCGAACGCATTGGTACGATTTTATAGGTACAATTTTTTATCCATTTATTTATCTACTGTATCGAGCGTTTCTTCTTAACGATTTCATCGGCCTCGGAAATCGTGCTTTTTATAATCGTAGCAGCATCCAATATTGGTCGCCGAAAATCGGTAAAATGGTATTTCAATATTTTTGTTTTTTTTTTTTAGAAATAACGTATTCAGTGCCGGATTAAACATTTGTGAGTCCCTAGGCAAATACAAATTTGGCCTACAAAATAATTTTTTACATATATATTTATCATTACTATCCATAATAATAATAATAATCAATAATAAATAATCCATCATAATTAAAATAAACAGCTTTAATAACAACTAAATATTATTAATAAATAAAATTTATTTTCAAGAAGAATTAATCTGTATATCTATTATATAATCTATTATATAATTTCTATTTTTTCAAAATAATTTTATTATTATCATTGCGTATAATACCTACAACTTAATATATATTTTATATTTCATAATGACTTTTGTCCCGTAAATAAAACAAAAAAATAATTTTCCGTTTTCACAGGGCCTCTTAAACGAGTGAGGCTCTAAGGCGGGCGCCTAATCCGCCTAATGGGTAATCCGGCACTGAACGTATTGACTTTTCAAATCATTAACGCATACAAAAGTTAGCGTTTTAAATTTATTATTGGGTTTTAAGTCGCTTTTCATCGCTACTACAATCCTAATATTAACGCACGGGTGGTATTAATTCTCATTAAGAAGTGTTCAAAACGTTGACGCGACCACGCGGGCAAAAGTTTTCCTGTTTTGTTTTCGTCACGGAACGCGTGTCACCCCCCTCACACGGTCGAACAAGTTGCGCTTTGTCCGTGTGCCGCTCCGTGCGATTAGTCTGCAGGTAGCGAAATTAGGCGTTGTTTTTTTTTTTTCCGAACAGGATAAATCCCGATAAAATATAAAAAAATTTATTTTCGAGACGCAGTATTTTATTATACTACAATTTAAAGCTTACCAAACGTGATTGCCTATCGATGTAGGCAAACGCGATCAACATTTCATCTGAAACAGTGTCGTGGACGCCATAAACGTTTTCAGTTTATACGGGGGCGCGCAGTTAATGCGGCCGGCTCGTCCAGTGCGCGACACACGTTCGCGACCGAAGCCTAACCGCACGCGTCAGTGGAACCATGGCCGTTCAGAAGGGTGAGGGGGGGGCAACGGGACTATTTTGCCCCAGGTCATATTGCTGGAATATTTTTTAGGGAGCCCTCATAAAGTCTTGATGTATAATAATTAATAATAAAGCCTCGATTACATTGAGCAATTTTACACACTGTATGTCGGCGATTAAAGTCGCGGGCGTATGAGCGTGTAGCGACTTGTCCGATTACATTGACCAATTAAATTTTAAATAATATGAATAGTATTGAATTATATTATGTAAGTATGTAATGCAGTACATGAATTTAAATGAGCTTGTTTGGTCAAGGTTTGGAAAAATATGTTTTCAAGAGTTTTGTTAATCTCAGTGATTATTTTGTTTATCATATCTAATTATTATGGTTGAAGGGCCCTAAATTAATTTGCCTTTGGCCCCTAAAAACCTTGAGATGGCCCTGAGTGGAACGCATCCGCCGGGTCCGGGTCGCGCAGTGCCGCACCAACGTTCAATGTCTACTGCGTTACAAACGTATGCACTCACCTCGTTGTAGCCGACGTGGTCCCCGTTGGCCCTGAGCACGTTGAAGTTGACGATGCCGCCTTGCTCATCTTCGCACCGGTACGCCGTGTCCGCGTACACCCGGAACACAGGCGTCCCGTTGCCGTGCCGCGCGCCGCACATCCGGCGGTACAGGTCCGTGGCCAGCCGGTACGTCCGCCCGGCCACCGACCGCATGGGGCCGGCCAGCCGGTGCAACGAGTCCAGTCCGTGGCCGACCGCGATCACGGACAGGAAATCGATCGTACCATCCTCCAATCTGCGCCGAGCATTAACGTTGTAGAAAGAAAAAAAAAAACGTATCGAACCCAATAATGGCGCATTCACGATTTTCCCTACGGGCATGGGACGTAATATCTGATCGTCTGTTGCTCCTCCATTGACAGCATGTGATTTCGTTTGATAGATCAATAACGAAACGATAAGGTGTTTATCACGCTTTAAAAAGCCTTAAAGAAAATTAATATTGCACTGTGAACGCTGAAAGATACTTGTAGAAAGAAAGAAAATAAAACTTCGGGAAGAGGTCTTCCCCCACATAGTGAATACGCCACTGAGGCACCGAGTAGGTCCGCTGTGATCTGTTCGCGTTGTAAGACTTATTATACCGCACGCATGTTTCGCGAACAATCGTCGTTCGCGCGCTCACCTTTCATGTAATTTTTTTCTGAAGACGTGATGACGATCCCGAGCTAGGGCCACTTCGACCGTTCCGCCGCCGAAGTATTTCTTACGGCGCAGCACGGCTGCACCGATACCGTTGCGCACCAAAAGCGCTCCTAAGCCAGTCGGATATCCGAACATCTTGTAAAACGATAGAACCACGAAGTCGGGCGAATATTTTCCCAAATCCAGATGGTTCGTGCACACGTACGTGGAGGCGTCCAGAACAACGTACCACCTATGAACAATATACATAAATATATATTTATATATAGATAGATATAGAAAGAGTGAGAAAGAATAAAAACAACACATTTTTTCGGATTAGGTGTATAATGTATAATAGTATAAAATATGCTGTTGATTCTTGTTACGTAGCACGTAGTCGATATCTCGAATATTTCGGTACCTCAAATGTTATCATTACGTTATATCCTCGAAATTGCAGCATGATATTTTTTAGAATTATTTTATAAAACTTGATAGCACTTACCTATTGAACCATCAAACTTGTGCTGTTACCTGTAACGGACAACGGTTTAACATTACCAGAATCTTTTATAATACACATGACGTAGATGTGTATGATACAACGGTAAATAGTAAGGTCGTAAATATTTGAAACCGAAAATACTTTAGTGAACTGATTTTAAAATTAGATTTTGGTTCGATTTTAATTTACGTTACAAGTAAAGTTGTGATAATAAAGCGGATTGATTAAAATATTGTCACGGTTTATTTGGTTTTTTTTTTTTTAATTATTTTGTTATTTTGGTGTAGTTCTGTGAAGCGCAAACATTTTAAAGACTGAAAAGGCAATTTATAGAGTAACCAAAACATTCCATGTTTTGTAAGTTGTTTTTTCATATTTTTTATTCTCCATACTTTTTTTTTTTTTTATAAGTCTATCATATTATTATTAATTATGATAACTTATGACCTATTTTGGGTTATTTATCGAAGGATATAAATTTCAGTTAATTTTTTTTATACTAAAATATAAATATAATAAATTAGATTCTATAGCTTTTAACATTAATATAACATTTGTATCCTGCATGTAGGGAGGATATAATTGTTTAAACTAAATTTTAAACTTAAAACACCTGTCACTATATAATTCTAGTAACAGTTTTAAAATTTTGACCTGAGAGTTAAATTTAAAAAATATGTATAATATAATATTCAATAAATATATTATAAGCAGGCTTAGGGACTTCTAGAATTTGCATACTTTTTTTAATTATTGTTAAATGTAGCAGAGCGCGAAATAAATTCGTTTCTCGATGCCATGATATCAGATCCAAAATTTGAATGTGCATATTTTTGCATATTTGATAGATTTTGCAAGAGAGTACATATTTTAAAATTGTTATGCTTATTTTGCATATTTTGACAAATTTTTCAAATTTTAAATTAAAAATTATATATACATATTTCAAACGATCGAAAAAAAAATGTACTAAAAGGACTTAATACTTTCAGTAATATGCTATATGCAAATTACCTCTCATATCTGGTTATAATTTTTGTGTAAGTATAAATAATACTATAAACCCGTATCGATCGTATAATCCGCTGGATATCGACCGAATGTTGATAAAGATAATAGTCGATATAGAATAATAGATTTAGTTCAGTCGATTATTATCCGTCGTGGTTTTTGTTAACCACGCAACGTCGAATCATACGTAAAACGTCGTACGGGTATATTTTGTAAAATTGTGTTCGCCGAAAATACAACAGTCTACGAATAGCTTACTACAAAGTTTTGATTTGGAGTTTAAATATAAATTTACATCCGATGGACACGTTTTATTTTGTGTACTATGTGATCATTTTTTTTTTTTTAATGCATATAAATGCATATTTTAATAATTTTAGAAGCATATTTGTATGCGTATTTGAGTATTTTTTACAGCTATAAGTCCCTAAGTCTAATTATAAGTTTTATTAATTTATATATTATATGTATATTATATTTTATTTGAAAGATAAAAATCTAATTAAATTAATCATATTTTAATTTAAACGATATGCACGTATTTATTGTATATTATTAAAATCAACATTAGATTCATTAGATTTCTATTTTATAATTGCGGTTTTTTTTATTTTTGCTATTTTAGGCTTTCTAATAAAATGTTTAGAACAACTTATTCTTTCGTTATGTTTATCTGTCAGTTCGTTGTTACCATAGGTCTATAATTAGTATTATTATTATATGATATTTAAAATGTTAAATTATATTCATAATACCCATTATTAAAAAAATATGAAAATATAATTACTTATTACTTGCGAATTGAGATAATATTAAATTTGTTTAAAAGGTTTTTTTTTAAATCTTTTTAAATTGTAAATCGAATTATGGTTTATTGCTTAAAAAATGTTTAGAACCCAAGGATTCGGTACGCTTGCAAAACGTGCTTTCCTTAATGGGATTTTTAACCATAAAACCGTTACACATGGTATATAAAATTAGACAATAAACTTGAGCCGAACGGAATTCTGATAAATCATAAATATTATTATAATTACTTGGTACGATTATCAGTGTACTGGTTCAGTGCACCATTCTGACACGTTTCGATCCATTCTAAGGGATATTTCGTACCCGCAAAGTTGGACTGAGCAGGGTAGGCAAACAATGAATTTCCTGAATCCGCAGGATAATCGTTATGCCGAGAGGATGATAGACCTTTGTCCAACGCTTTGTACGCCTTGTCCCGCGCCAGACACAATATATTAGTCCTTGGAGCTAGTTCTCGCATACCCAACACCGACGTGTGATTGTCTGCCGTGTACGCAAACGTACTGTCCCAGGATCGAGAGTCTGCAATGAAAATAAAGCCTTATACGTCCTGATATGTTTTTAATTATATGAAGCCGAAACAGTCGAGATCTTTCGCGTTTATGGCGTTGGGCCATACACCGTATGCGATACGGTAACCTAACCGACAGCGACTCGAGTTCAAACCACGATATCAGACACTTTTTTTTTTGCATTTTTTTCCCACTTTTCACTCAACTTATCTTAGTTTTGTACTTATATTACTTATTATTACCTTCGTTATATATTATATTTTAGCTTTTATAAAAACGTTTTTATAAAAATAAATAAAAAAAATATATATATATTAAAAATATTATAT